TATGGTTATTGTCATTCGTCATGCTGAACAATAATTTGGCTATTTCCTTGTGAAAGTCGGTAGCGGAATTCTTTTCGGGAAAACTCTTTAGAGTGAAATTATTCCTCTGGTTGTGTACAGCTACAGTTTTCCCACTGAACTGCTTTCCTTGTTTGGCTTTCTTTGACTCGTTTGAAAACAAAGTGGTTAGGTCACTCCGATCAGTCCTGCTACTTTTCTGAGGGCCTTCGAGAGCCTTGTGATTGAATGTTTTGGAAACGCGGTTGAACACTTTCATTGGAATCATCAACGAATTTCTCCGTAGTATGAGCCTCGGATTGAACTGGTCCTTGTGTTTTTGAACGATCTTCCTATTTTTGACTGGTTTCCCTTTCGCTATCTTACCATTGAAACCTGCTTTTTTATGTTTGATGGCCTTTTCATTCGTTCCATTTGAGGCATCAATAGGGCGAATGCCAACCAACGACGGATTTGCGACTGAATTACCCGTGCGTACCTCCAACATAGTACTCACCTTTACCTCTGATACAGTGTTACGGAGGCCGAAAGGTGGATGAGAAGGAACTCTGGAAGAAAGTCCCGCTCGCTTCAACTTTTGCGAAGTTTTGTCCATTTTACTTTTTGACGGGGATACCATGGATGTCATTGCGACTGTTTCCGAAGGTTTTGTCGTTAACTCTCCGATTTCGTTCTTACTCGCATGACTAGCTTTCGAATGAGCTGCTACCTTTGGAAGTTTGAAGAATTCACTTTTAGTTGACACTTTTTTTCGGGTCGACGACGCCGGAGGTCTTGAAGACCTTTTTGATGTTATACTTGGGACAAAGTCAGGTGAAGTACCCGATTCCTTCCCTGCTTTTCGTAATGAGCCTCCTATCAATTCACGCCCTGATAAAAATTCCGGAGATGATGAAGTTTGATTTCGCTCAGTCGTCAAAGCCTTTCTCGAAAGTCCAGCGGTGGTAGCGGCGATATTTTCAACGACATCATTCTTTTCTAACAATGTTTTTAAATTAACCACTTGGTGTAGCTCAGTCTTCCCCAGCTTTCTATTATGTTCCTCAATCGCAGTTGGCGAAACGGTCTCGACTTTTCTCATTTCTGTATTAGTTCTACTAGTTGGCATCGATGTCGAGCTGGAAGCCTTTGTTACCGTGCAACCCCTTGCGGCGTTTGCGTTCAATGCGTCAGAAAGCTTTTCGCTATCTGCATCACACTTAGTGATTGTTGTAAATGGAGAACTATCTGTGGAACTTATTAGAACGACCAAATCCTCGCCAGTTTTGCCGGACGGTTTCTTGACACCTACTGCACTCGAAGGTCTTGGAAAGGCAGTAGTATCTACTAAGGATTCTAATTTGGGAAAAGAATCCATGTTGTCAGTTGGACTTTCTGAGGTTTTATTGAACTGCAGTTCGTTATCGACATCTGCATTGCCAGTTGATGTAACATCTGTAGTGACTGCACCTTCAACTAGGTGACTTTCCAAAAAGATGCTCGTAGAGATAGTGGTGGAAGATGCAGGACTTGTACTTTCAAAATGTTCCTCGGAAGTTGTGGAACTTGTAGTGGCACGCAGATCGGTCACATGCAAAAGGGATTCAACTTGTGAGCCTCCAGGCAAATCAGTGAAGGCAACTTGCCGTTGCAAGACTTTATTGTTGTCTGCAACATTTCTTTCGGAAGGTGTGACCAATTCGCCATCAATCTCAGAGCTCTCTGTCAGAATTTCGGGAGATGCAGAGCTTTGGGAAGACCCTCCGGAAAGTTTGCTATCGACAACTGCGGTTGCGCTACTTGGCAAAACAGTCGTTGTCACAAAATCTTCCATTTGAAGGGTACCCGAAGAGCCGATTGGAGCAGTTGAACTACTTGATGTGTCACCTAACTGCTCTTCAGAACTTGTAGTTCCTGAGACGATTGTACCACTTGGTGGAGGACTCCCCGTATTCACTTCCAGTGGAGTGGTATTACTTAAAATGCTTCCATTAAAAGATGATCCATTTTCGGTTGTCTGCAGAATAACCGAAGATGTGAAGGTTTCTGACTGATAACTATCCATGAAAGTGGTTGTATCGTTTTCGATATCTGCAGTTGATTTTTTTGCTGGTGTTGTTGTAGCAGTGCCTGTAGGAGGAATTGGTGAGTTCCTCAGAGGTGTCCTTGAACTAGTCGAACTGGGGGTACTCATTCTTAGATGCTTTTTGATAATCACAATTGTCGTATTCGGCTGGTAGATTGAGGTTGTGGCGGATTCAGTGGAAGGGCTACCCGTGGAGTTTATCGGGCCGACCGAACTCAGAGGTCTGCTTTCCAATACTTCTCCGAAATTCATGTCTAACTTTCCCGCTGTTGTGATGATTGGAGTTGTAACATCGATAGTGCTCCTTGAAGAACTCGTCGGAGATGTTAAGTTTCGAAGAAAACTCTCCAAATGCCCAGATGTGGAGCTCTTGCGCGTCAGTGGGGCATTTGCAGCCGAGGAGAGTTCGTAACTATAGTTACTAGGAATCCCTTCAATAGTTGTACCTTCTGGAGTATCACCAAACTCCTCAGTATCTGAAAAATTTGACCGAGCGTTAAGCTTCGGTTGCTCAGACTGCGCTTCAGGAGTGGTCCTCGACTTAGAAAGCTGACGATGAAGCGAAGTCGAGTCAGTGGAATTTGACAAAAGCTTCAACAGTGCGAGCCTTAAGAGCTGTTCTACTTTGCTATAAAAACTTGAAGGAGGAGCATATGTTCCATTTTTCTGGGCTAAAAGGTCAATGTTCGGTTTCGTAACATTCATAGAGCTCTCCGGCTCCAAATTCAGCAAGAAAAGAGTTGAATTCAAGTTTTGTTCGTCAGCTTCAACACCCTTCCGCCCATTTTCGTCAGAGACATTCAATGCACCAGAGATTAGAGGGGTTGGAGACGTAGTAGAGTAGTAGAAGCTTGGCGTTTCTCGGTTTGCAGCAGCTCCCAATACAAGTCCTGGCTTTGTTTCCTTTATGTCGATTAAGCCACTTAACACTTGTCCCGATGAAATAACAGATTTTTTAGCAACTGATGAAGGCTCGAGAGTGTATTCCCGTTCCCGGTCGGGAATAATGTTCGATTCAGTTTCACTTGAAGTTGTCGTCGTCCACAAAACAGTTTCCAACGCAACATCTTTAGCTGCAGCTCTAGAGAAATAATCGAAAATTGGCGCTTGGAATTTTGTTCTCAAAATCGGAGGGTCAGGCTGAAATCGAAGGGGGAAGCCTGGGTCAAACGAGAAACTACTATTATTATTTTTTGGGATTTTATCGATTTGAGGCTCTTCGACAATGTGGGCTCGTATGATTTGTTGAATAACT